AGTAAGGAAATAGAAATGATTGGTCATCTTCACGGTGACATTTTTAACCAAGATAAATTTTTAATTAATGGTGTTGAAATGAGTGTTAAATTGGTTCGATCAAGAGAGAGTTTTAATTTAATTGTTGGGTCAAACGATGTAAAGTTTAAAGTTTGCATTACGGACGCAACTCTTATTGTTCGACGAGCACGAATTAATCCAAGTATATTACTCGCACATCAAAAAGTTTTAGCTTCTACCACTGCTAAATATCCTATTACTCGAGCTGAAGTAAAAGTTTTAACAATTCCTTCGGGTGTTCAAGGAAAAACTCTTGATAATATATTTTTAGGACAGGTACCGAAAAGATGTATAATTGGATTTGTGAACAATTCTGCATTTAATGGTTCTCTTACTAAAAATCCATTTAACTTTGAAAACTATGGTATTAATTCTTTCAGCTTATATATTGATGGTCAACAAATACCTTCAAAAGCTTTGCAACCATCTTTTAATAATAGCATATTTACATCAGCATATCGTACTCTATTCTCGGGAACTGGTATTCACTTTCTTAATGAAGGAAATGGAATCTCTTGTGAACAGTATGGCAAAGGTTACTGTCTATTAGCATTTGACTTAACTCCTGATTTATCAGCTAACTCATCAACTCATTGGAATCTCATAAAGCATGGTAGTGTAAGAATAGAAGTACGATTTGAATCCTCATTAATACAAACAATTAACTGTATAGTTTATGCTGAGTTTGATAATATTATTGAGATAGATAAAAACAGAAATGTTACTGTAGACTATAGTAGTTAAGGTTATAATATGTGTTGTGTGTTAGATTTTATGTGTTATGTGTAATGCATTTTGTGTGTATGTAACTATGTGAAACGTTATAAAATTAAATAAAACAAATTGTATGCAATATATTTTTTTTTATTTCTTTATAAATCTTTTATTTAATCTAATACAAAACACTGTTCGAGTTGAAATTTTACATAAGCACACTGACTAAACCACTGAACATGCTGCTGCCAAGGATCATCATCATCTTCCCAATCTTTTAAACCACCACCACAATGGAAACACTTGGTCCCGTCTGCATGACCAGTATAAAAGAAACCAGCTTCTGCAAGATCTTCAGGTTTCTGTCGCATAACGAGAGGCCAGTTTTCGAAACTAAGCAAACGGCTAGATTTTGAACTGAAGAATGGATATTCAGCTCTTGAGTACTGCATACTCTTCTCGTTTTCTTCTCCACTCAGTGTTGTAGTTTTGTTATTCAATGATGTGTTTTGTACACGTATGCCACACTCATCTCTTCCTTCCGCTCTTGTCTTCCTGTAATTGAAGTAAACAGAATCACATTCACTAATGATCAGCTAATGACTGTCATTGTTAAAAAAGTATTTTTTAACTTTTTCACTTTCTGCTATTGTCTTTGTTATATTGTATACGAGGGCGTTTGTGTTGTCGTAGATGCTATCCTTATTAGTCTTTACGTAATATTTAATTCTCGTGGAAGCATGTTTCCAATGATCAGTAGTTGGAATCTTGGATAGCTTCTTCATATCGTACATTTCAATTTTGATGAGATGCGTCGCTTGGTCTCCGTCGTCAGAATTAGTAGAAATGTATGATACACCATCTCTAGCGGCTCGTGCTACGGTTGATGATAACAGCTTCCTCTTTTTTATTTTTGATTCAGCTTCAAAAAAATGATCAATCGATTGCGATTTTCTTTTTCCACCATCGCATGTGTTATTATTAATGACGAGGTCATCACTCTCTTCTTGAGGGGAGAGTGGCGAGTAGTAATACTGTTTATAGGTATTTTCATCGAAGCTCAATGATTTCTGCAACAACACAGTTATCATGTTAATATCAATTTGTTAACACTTAATCATAAAAGTTAAAAAAGTTAAAGTTACAGCCTATTAAAGTCCACTGCTGAACATAGGCCTCCTCTCATTTCTGAGAGGGTTTTAGGGCAAGGAAATGTCCGCCGCGCTGCCTCAATGTGTGTTGGCGAACTTCACATGCCTTCGAAATTTTCTCAGACATGCAGGTTTCCTCACGATGTTTTCTTTCACCACCAAGCACGTGGTAATAAGCACTTAAAATTGCGATTAACAATTTAATTGGTGCTGGCGGGGATCAAACCCGGGTCGCGTACTGTGAAATTTACAGCTAGCGCTAACCATCTGAGTTACCACGGTTTAATCATATACATACACAATATTTAAATAAAATAATACACACGCATGAAAATAACAGAAAAAAAGTAATTTAGTCAATAGAATAAACACTTACTTCCATAGCCTTTGGTGCATTGAAGTAACACAAATGTACTATTGATAGATTCACTGCAGTCAAACGACCATACACTAACTCGATGACTGCGTCTGTTGGTCTTATATACCACCAGTACGTAAAAATTCTAATCTAAAGTATTTCCGTAATGAGTTGATAATTACTTTATGCGTCAACCAGTTTATCTCACATTTCCGTTGCCTATCTCAACATTTCTTCGTATTGTGTTTTGTTTGGTGATCAATGACTCAAGTACGATTTGTATAACACAAAAATGCAATTTAATATTTAGAAATCACTATAATTGACCATTCCTATGTTATTCATTGAGTAGATTGGTACTGTAATAATCTACTAATAGCAGTAATATCATGGATACACTAGATGTACAACAACATCTGAAAAAGATTCACCCCAGTCTAGAAAATAATGTTTATGCAGCTAATAGACTGCCTATGTATACCCACGTACCAACGTATATAATATGCAATTTGGATACTGATGATAAACCAGGGTCACATTGGGTAGCTTTATATATCGATACGAATGACGTCTGTCAATATTTTGATTCATATGGACGATCACCTGTACGATATCATCTAGAGTTTTTAAAAAGGAATTGTAAAAGATGGAACTGGAATGTTGATAGGATTCAGAATGAGTAGACTTCAGTTTGTGGCGAATATTGCTTAATGTATTTGCTATATAAGTTTCAGGGATGTTCAATACATAGTTTTACGAGTATATTTACAAGGAACACATTGTACAACGATATTTTAGTGGATGAGATGTTTCGCTCCTATTTTATAGATAATAAGTAATAAGATTTTGTATTTTATAAATAAAAATTGTAACAAAATTATGTAATGTGTTTTATTGATTGTGGGATACCAACAATGGACAAAGCCACTTCGCGCGCGCACACGGCCATCGGAATACTTCGGCAACCTTCGGAATTTACGTCCGTGACATTAACCATACTCTCATCACGCCAAGGTGCCCTTCACTCGCTCAGAGATTCCGGAGTAGACGCACGTTCGATCGCCTTGCATTTTTCTATACTTACGATAGTTTAATTCCCGTATTGTTTTGTTAGTTTCCGCCCTTTTACTGTTGTTCTTTTTGTTTGTATCCAGTGTAGTATTTTTTGGCTTGTTTTATGTGTTAAATGTAAATTCTAATTTAAATCATTATAGCTGACTTATACTGATCTTTGGACTTTCTCTGTTCACCATTCTACCTAAGACATAGTGCAGTTAAGAATACCTAATTTCTACATTGGTGACCACGACGATGGCAACGGATGATAAATTCCAAGATGCAGCTGCTGGAGAATCCTGCAGAGTTAGTGTGCGACCTCCGCCTTTTTGGCCTGAGGAACCAGGTTTATGGTTTGCCCAAATGGAAGGCCAGTTTATTTTATCAAATGTGACGTCTGATACAACAAAATTCTACCACGTTATTGCACAACTTGACCACCGGTATGCAACAGAGGTAAAGGATATTATTACTTCACCGCCGTCAACAAACAAGTATGAAAAGTTAAAAACGGAACTTATTAAGCGTCTTTCTGCGTCCCAGGAGCGTAAGGTTAAACAACTTCTCATGCACGAGGAGTTGGGCGATCGAAAGCCATCTCAGTTTCTAAGACACTTACAACATCTTGCCGGACCCGCAGTTCCTAATGATTTTTTGAAAACCCTGTGGTCAAGCCGTTTACCAGGAAATTTACAAACAATAATAGCATCACAGTCTGATTTGCCATTAGATAAGTTGGCAGATTTGGCAGATAAGGTACACGAGATTGCGCCAACCACACTAGGACAAGTCGCCAGCACGTCATCTTCGGGTATTACTACTTCTTCCTTCGAGGCAATGGTTCAACAGATAAGTGAATTGACTAGGCAAGTAGCGAAACTTACTACAACACAGGTAAATAAGTATCCCCGATATCGCTCAAGACCTCGATCTAAATCTAGGGTCAAAGGTAAGCGCAATTATTCTAAAACGCGACCACCACAGACACCTCCAAATCATCCTCACTGCTGGTATCATTTTACATATGGTACGCGTGCCAGAAAATGCTTAGCACCTTGTAATTGGGAGGCGGAAAACTCAACGGGCAGTCGGCAGTAGCGGCCAACGATTGCCCAGCTAACACAGGCCGTCTATTTATTACTGACCGTGTTTCTAAAATGCTTTTCCTCGTGGATACTGGGTCAGACCTTTGTGTTTTCCCACGGTCAGCTATTAAGACGCCGTGTACCCCTACAAAGTATAGTTTGATTGCTGCGAATGGTACAGTCATAAATACTTATGGAGTTATACAGCTACAGCTGGACCTTGGACTCAGACGTACTTTTACATGGAATTTCACTATTGCCAATATTACGAAACCCATTATAGGAGTGGATTTCTTAAGTTTTTATAATCTGATTGTAGATTGCCGGAGTCAGCGACTAATAGATGGCACAACTACCCTTTGTGTATCCGCACAACGCCAGAGAGTCCCAGAGGACGTCATCTCAATCAAAACCATCTCTGGTGACAACGAGTTTCAACAGCTGTTACATAACTTCCCGGAGATCACCCGACCTGCAGGTACTGTAACTACACCTAAGCATAATACAAAACACTTTATAAGAACTATACCGGGACCGCCAGTAACCTGTAGGCCTCGGCGTTTAGACCCAGTACGCATGAAAATTGCTCGAAAAGAGTTTGAAGATATGTTGGCACAAGGCATTGTAAGGCGTTCTGAGAGTCCTTGGTCATCAGCTTTACATCTTGTAAAGAAAAAAAATGACGGATGGAGACCGTGCGGGGACTACAGATCACTTAATGCAAGGACTATCCCTGACAGATATCCCATTCGTCACATACAAGATTTTTCTTACCAACTTTCTGGATCCACTATATTTTCTAAGATTGATTTAGTGAAGGCATACAACCAAATTCCTGTAAATCCTTCGGATATACCAAAGACTGCCATAACTACACCATTCGGGCTTTATGAATACCCTTTCATGAATTATGGTTTGCGAAACGCAGCGCAAACTTTTCAGAGATTCATTGATGAAGTGCTCTCTGGTCTAGACGATTTTTGCTTCGGATACCTCGACGATATTCTGGTTTTTTCACCTTCCCCTGAAATACATAAACGCCACTTACTTCAGCTCTTTGAGAGGTTAAAAGCTTACGGCGTGTTGATCAATACGACGAAGTGCGTGTGGGGACAACACGAGGTGACATTCCTTGGATACCATGTGTCTGCAGCCGGCATCTTACCGCTAAATACAAAAGTACAAACTATACAAGAATTTCCCATACCACGCACTGTAAAGGAACTCCGCAGATTCTTAGGTATGATCAATTTTTATAGACGTTTCATACCAAATGCAGCTAGGATACAAGCACCGTTAAACGCCGTCTTAGCGGGACCTAAAGTGAAAGGATCTCATCCCATTAGTATGACACCAGATCTTTTGAAAGCATTTGAAAAATGCAAAAATGCTCTTTCTAATACTACACTTTTAGTACATCCTAATTCATCGGCCGAGCTCTCAATTCACACCGACGCTTCAGATGTGTCCATCGGTGCTGTGCTGCAACAACGCAAGGGCACTGAATGGGAACCCTTAGGTTTCTTTTCGAAAAAGCTGAATTCCGCACAAAAAAAATATAGCCCCTATGACCGGGAGCTTCTAGTAATTTACGAAGCAATCAAATATTTCTTACACATGGTAGAGGCTAGAGTCTTCAGTGTGTACACAGATCATAAGCCTCTTACCTATGCTTTCTCTACTGCAAGAGATAAATGTCCTCCGCGACGCTATCGCTACCTAGATTTTATTGCACAGTATACCACAGACATTCGCTACATTCCGGGACCAGATAATGTAGTAGCTGATACGCTTTCACGGGTAGAAGAAATTAAAATATCTTTAGATTACCAGGCTCTTGCACGATCTCAAGATAAAGACCCTGAACTGCAACATCTGCTGCAAAACGGTTCATCATTAAACCTACAGAAAATCGAACCAATAGGAGCAAACCTTAAAGTATACTGTGACGTATCTGTACAGCAGCCAAGACCTTTCATTACAAAAGCATTTAGAAGGCAAGTGTTCGATATGCTTCATGGATTAAGTCACCCAGGAAGTTCAGCTACAGTACGTCTTGTCACTGATAGGTTTGTCTGGCCTGGCATTCGTAGAGACTGTAGAGAGTGGGCTAGGCATTGCCTTGATTGCCAACGAAGCAAGATTACCCGTCACACTTCCGCTCCCCTTTCCTCTTTTCCTACGCCTTCATCAAGATGCTCTCATATACATCTCGATATTATAGGGCCTCTAACTCTCTCTTATGATTTCAGATATTGCCTCACTATCATCGATAGATTTACACGATGGCCTGAGGCGATTCCCCTGAAAGACATCACAGCAGAATCCTGTGCCTCCGCTCTGGTATCTGGGTGGATATCCAGATTCGGCTGCCCTGCTCGAATTACAACGGACAGAGGACGTCAGTTCGATTCCAGCTTATTTAAGGCAATCGCATCCATGGTTGGTGCTTGTCATTTCTGCACAACTGCCTACCACCCTTCTGCTAATGGAATGGTGGAGCGCGTACATCGCCAGCTGAAAGCTGCCATTATGTGCCACAACTCTACACAATGGACTGAGGTACTTCCGCTTGTTCTTCTTGGTATTCGCAGCTCTTGGAAAGAAGATATTCAAGCTTCGTCTGCTGAACTGGTGTATGGCGAACCTCTTCACCTTCCTGGCGAGTTCATGAGCCCTAAAGAAAACCACTGCACTGAAGATTTCACCACCTTCGCCGCCCGTCTACGCTCACATATGGCTAAGCTGACGCCAAAACCAGCTAAGTGGCATAGAAATGGTCCATTTTATATACCCAAAAATCTAACAGATTGCAGTCATGTATTCCTGCGTCAGGACCATGTACGAAAATCACTAGAGCCTCCATATGCGGGCCCGTATCAAGTTTTAGGCAGGCACCCGAAGTTTTATAAAGTGCTCGTGCGAAATAAAGCGGTCAGCGTCAGTATTGATCGTCTAAAACCTGCGTATGTTACAGATGGACCCACAAATACTTCGGTTGCTACATCTTCATCACCTCCTCTTCCAACATGCATCCATAACGACCAAAAAACGAAGGAAAGGATTACTAAGAGTGGAAGAAAAGTTCATTTTCCTGATTACTATCGACCGTAGCCACGGTCTCGGCGGGGGAGTACTGTGGGATACCAACAATGGACAAAGCCACTTCGCGCGCGCACACGGCCATCGGAATACTTCGGCAACCTTCGGAATTTACGTCCGTGACATTAACCATACTCTCATCACGCCAAGGTGCCCTTCACTCGCTCAGAGATTCCGGAGTAGACGCACGTTCGATCGCCTTGCATTTTTCTATACTTACGATAGTTTAATTCCCGTATTGTTTTGTTAGTTTCCGCCCTTTTACTGTTGTTCTTTTTGTTTGTATCCAGTGTAGTATTTTTTTTGGCTTGTTTTATGTGTTAAATGTAAATTCTAATTTAAATCATTATAGCTGACTTATACTGAACTTTGGACTTTCTCTGTTCACCATTCTACCTAAGACATAGTGCAGTTAAGAATACCTAATTGCTACATGATGATTCAGATCATTCATTCTCATCGTTCTCGCGTATGCGCACTCAGCGTGAGGACGTGTGTCAATTGTACCTACCTATAATACGACATTTTAAAACAAAATGGCTCAATGTAAAAAGTGTAAGCTGTTTCTTTCACTAAAGAAAGATGATGTCATTAAGTGTTTGGGGAGTTGTGATAGTGTCTATCACAAAAAGTGTGCGTCAAAACAATTGCTTAAGAAAGAGATGTGCGAAATATGTGCCAAGAAAAATGAAGACACTCCATCACCGCAAACATTAAATTTGAATCTTAACCAGGTAACTACAGAGTCCATTTTAGAAGAAGTTAATAAAAAGTTGCAAGTGATTTATAAGATAGAATCCAAGTTGGATAATGCTTTGGAACTCATAGATTTTTATTCTGAAAAATATCAAGAAATGGTGGAGTTCAAAGAGACAGCAGAGAGGAAGATAAAAGCTCTTGAACAAAAAAATGTTTACCTTGAAAAATACAACAAGGCTTTGGAAGAAAGATTACAAGACCTAGAATTAAAAGAAAAAGAAAAAAACATTGAGATCTTAGGATTAGAGAAAAAGGAGAATGAAAATACTCTAGAAGTAGTGAAAAAAGTGTCTCAAATACTAAAATTATGCCAGGGGGATATAGAGGATGCGAGGAGGGTAGGTAGGGAAAAACTGAACCAGAAGAAAGCACAGCCGATCATTGTTACGTTACGCACAAAGAAGGCCCGTGATCAATGGGTATTGGCTCGAAAAGTGCGTATTTCAAATGCGCAAGTTCTCGGAAATAATAGCGATCAATTAATATATATAAATGAAGATTTACCAAGGTATAAGCGTCAATTGTTTTCGGAAGCAAAAAATCAACTAAAATCTTATTTCAAATATATATGGATTCAGAATATGAATATACTAGTTAAAAAAAACGACAAATAGAAAATATTTAAAATAAGTTCTGAAAGTGACATAAACAAAATGTTACCGAGTACTGAATAAAGTTGCCAAGGCCTGTGCTAAGGCCGTGCGTACACGCCTCGTTATCTTCTATACTAAAAATTCGCACCTATACAACAATTACCTACTGAAATCGACTTTATAAGGTATAAGGACCTGACACAATGGAGTGAATCTCAACCTGCAAATGGGATACATATATTGCATCTAAATATACGTTCTTTAAGAAAAAATTTCAATGAATTGCTGGTTTTGTTGGAGCATATCAAATATAAAGTACATATGATAGTATTAAGTGAGATAAATATTAAGATAGAAGAACTAGGTTTTTATAATATTAATGGATATATACTTCATGCTAATACGAGGGAAATTTTAAGAGGAGGAGGTCTACTTATTTATATAAAGGAACATCTGGACTTTTTTTCACAAACAATCAACACTCCAGTGGCAGAATTAATTCATGGAAACTTGACGATCAGAAAAAGGACTTTTCATATTTTCTGCATCTATAGACCACCTGCGAAAAATAAATATGGTTTTATTGAGTGCCTAAATACAATAATAAAGGAAAGAACATCGCCTCAAGAAGATATTATTCTCATAGGAGACATGAACATTGATATTTATAACAACAGGTGTAATCATATTATTTCAAATTATAAACTAACTTTGTGTGAACACGGCCTACATTGTGCAGTGCCTAGCTCGGAGATAACACGAGAAGCGGTAGTCAACGGACGACACGAGCGGTCATGCATTGACCATCTGTGGGTGCGAGCGAGACCGGCTGACACTACATCTGTTGCCTACGTAATCGACTGTCATGTATCCGATCATCATATTGTTGGCATTACGTTAGGCGTCTCAGGATTGCAAAGCGAAGTGAATGTTGTAAAAACGGTAAATAATTGTAAACAAGTGATTAGTGATAAATTGTGTAGGGTAAAGTTGGAAGAATATGATTGGTCCCAGCTTTTAGATTTGTCTTGCCCAATGTTATTGTATGAGAAGTTACGTTTACTGTTTGAAAATATTTATAATGAAAGTAAGGTCAATATTGCAGTAAGTAATAAACGATTAACGCAGCCATGGGTAGACGGTAAGTGGAATAATTTAATATTAAAAAGGGATTCTTTATTTAGAGCGTGGAAAGTGTCACCAAAAAATATGAACAAGCGTTTAGAATACACGAGATTTAGAAATAGAGTAAATAAAATTATAAATGATGCCAGAAACAAGTATAGACAAAAACAAATAAAGGATTGTAATGGTGATAGCAGAAAAATATGGTCAAATATTAATACATGGTTAGGGAGAAATAAGGCAGATGTGGATTTAGTAATTAAGAAGTACTTGGGTAGAAATTATAGTTTATTTAATATTTGCACAAAATTTTCTAAAACATTTACTAATGAAATATTAGACATTAAGCATACTTGTAATTTAAAATTTTTAGATAGAAATATGTACGTTACACAGAGCGAAGTGTCTTTTAGGTTTAAGAAAGTGAAATCATGTGACATAGAAAAAGTAATTGATAAATTGCACCATAAAAAAGCACCAGGTTTGGATGGGATTAGGGTGAAAGATTTAAAGTTAGTAAAGAAAAAAATAAGTCCAATACTAGCCCATTTTGTTAATATGTGCTTGTCAAAAGGTGTTTATCCTGACTTATTAAAGAAAGCAATTGTTCGTCCCATATTTAAACACGGAAGTCATTTAGACTTCAGTAATTACCGGCCAATAGCCATCTTATCATCGGTCAATAAGATTGTTGAAAAGGTGGTTGTTGGCCAAATAACCGACTTTTTGGAACAGCATAGTATATTATCAGAGGCACAACATGGATTTCGAAAAAATTGTAGCACAACTTCTGCACTTACACTATTTTCAGATACAATTAATGAATATTTAAATGATGGAAAACAGGTTATGGTTTTGTTTATTGATTATAAAAAAGCCTTTGACACTTTGGACCATAATATATTATTGAAAGCGATGGAGGAGTGTGGAATCAGGGGCCCTACAAATAACTTTTTTCGTAGCTATCTATCTAATAGGACGCTCCGTACTGTAGTTGATGGTGTTGTGGGAGAGGAGGCCCGTATTAGCTTGGGTGTACCGACTGGTTCTGTTTACGGTCCTGTCGGTTATATTATGCATGTAAATAGTGTATCTAATGTAATAAAAAATTGTCAAGTGTATATGTATGCAGATGACATGTGCTTGCTATTTGCCTCTAAAGAAACAAAAGAATTGCAAAATAATATACAGAGTGACTTTGAGAATATAACAAAGTGGGCCCATGATAATGGCATAATCCTTAATTTTAATAAAACAAAATGCATGCATATACACTCTCCATATAATGCTGCAGCGAAAAACATAACATTAAATGAGATGGCTGTTGTGGGCCACTGTTTTGAGTGCTTACATAATAATAAAATGAATTGTAATTGTAAAGAAATTGAATTTGTCGATAAGATTAAGTATTTAGGACTGGTAATTGATCAAAACTTTAATTGGAAACCTCAAATTTCTGATGTATGTACAAGGTTGTCAGTGATATTAGGTAAATTTTATTTTTTACATTACATTTTGAATAAAAAATCTATGTACCTTCTATACTATGCTTTGGTGGATTGCCTCATAGGTTATGGACTTGGTGTTTACGGTCGCACTTTTGCTTCTTATATAAAGAACATTAAAAATTTACAGACTAGATTTCTAAAATATCTTGTAAATGAAAAAGTTAAAGAAAATTGTAAGAAAGATTATAATAAGTTATTCTATATTTGTAAAATTTTACCGGTAGAACACAAAGTTAACATGCTATTAGTTTTGGAAAACATTAATAAAAATCATTTTAAAGAAAAAGTGGATAATAAATATAGAACCAGGAAAGTTAGAGAAGGGAAATTAGTTGAGCCTAGTGTTAAAAACTACTATGGTAAAAGATGTACAAAATACTTAATACCAAAGCTTTTTAATGAAATAGACTGGATAAGGCAAGGTAGACCTGAATGTAAAAATATAAATAAAAAAAAGCTTAAGAAGTATTTTTTAGAGAAAATAGAAAATACATGATAACGTATTTCTAACGTAATCTGTAAAAGTTGTAATATTAGAATTACTAGAATACAAAAATAATAGTGTTTATACTTAGGATTTATTTGCTACATTATGTGGGTGGGGTACTTAATTATGTAATAAGATGCAAGAGTGCAATTATTCGCCAACAAACTGTATTTACAGTTTGGCGAAGTTTTAAAATAATGTTATGTTTTTGTAAATGTTGGTAAATAAATAATAAAAAAAAAAAAAAGATTAGCGTTGTATAATTAGGAACAAAGAAGTATAATACAATAACACTGATATAGTCGACGCACACGCTGCAATGAAGGTGATTAATGAACAATAGAACAATAGAAATAGGAAAAATGGGACGCTAATGACGGTGGAGGCCCTTACCGGATATCAATTAGATATTGGCTAATTGATCTGCAAATCTCCGGAACCGTGCATCCTACGCAAAAATGGACCGCAGATTCGTGATCAGAGCATGCCAAAACTTTTTTTTTTTTTTTTGAATCGTGTGTCGACGAACGTCGTTGAACC